TTTTGAAAGTTCTAATTTTATTTTCCCTACCAAAATGAAAAATAATTAGACTACTATGTATAGTAAGGGATTTATCCTAGGAATACAAGGCTGTTTTAGTATTTGATTTGAATTTGGAATTAATATTTGGAGTTTCTAGCGTAATTTCCATATTAATAGGCCAGAAAAGAAAAAGTCTATTTAGTGTGTTTAATCAAGCATAATAAATGAATTTGACCAATTTGTCAACACCCTTCACAACAACAAAAGACCCTCAGAATACAAACATCACAATGTAAACCCTTGTACACCTGTCATATGCTAATAATAATAAAAAATACCCTCAGAAATATAGGAATATAGGAACTTCCAGGTTTGATTATAAAGAACACCTCCAAAAATTGAGCACGTGATATTTAACAGTGAAATTCCTTCACTGAGTCCGAACACATAGCATGCATTCAACTGCCTTACTCACCATTTGCAACTGAGATATTTAATAGACATCTGAAAATTAACATGTCAGACCAGATCCTTTCTTTGCCCACCCCCAAACCTACTCTTGACGTGTCTTCAACTCATTAAATGAACAAGTAATGGCTATTAGCACAAAAGCCGTGGAGTTGTGTAATCTGACTCCATTTTTTTCCACAACAAACATTCAGTTCTTCCAGATAGGCCCTACAAATGTACCTATGACTCATTTCTGACCTGGTTTATTGCTTTGCCCCTAAACTGCTCCCTCTGGCCTGTCTTGGCTCCATTAATCTCTTTTCCACCCAGCAACTTGAGTGCCTTTACATGTAAGTCAAACCAGGCCTTTCTCTCTAATTAAAACCCTTTGATAGTTTCCCGTGGTGCTAATAAAGGCAATTTCGTAGTTTCCAGAAAATGGAAACGTTTTTGCAATGACTCCCAAGTAATACTAGCTCATCATTTATTATCCAATAAATATTTATTGAGAAACAGCTATGAGCCGGGAACTCTGAAATATTGGTACTGTAACTGTGGAAAAAAAAAAAAAAAAGCCTGGCCATTAGGCTTAAAGACTTAAAAATCCAGGGGAGAATACAGGCAGGCAATACTATGCAGCGCTCAGGGCTAGGGTTTGACGAGAACAGAGTGCGGGGAGAACATTTGCAAAAGGTACTTTTCCAGAGATGAAAAGACATGGAGACCCAGAAAATAAATAGAAAGGAAGCAAGAGGGAGAGAGGGAGAGATGTGGTGGGCATGGCTAGATCCTAAACTGTGAACTTTGGAGAATTATCTGAGTAGGCAGAAGCAATAAGTAAGGTTCAGGCCACATGGGGCCTTGTGGATTATGCTCAGTTTTTCAGACTTTATCTTAAGAAATTCAGGACTTTGAACTGAGATCACAAATTAAAGGATTATGAGGAGGGTAAATGAAGAAAGAGAGTGAATAGGGTTGATGTGCTTTCTATACACGTGTGAATGTGAAACACTGAAAACTGTTGAAGTCACTGCCAGAAGAGGAATGGGATAGGAGGGAGAGTAATGGAGAGAATGAACTAGTCAGGGTATAATACATGTATATATGGAATTGTCACAACAAAACCCCTGAATTACTATCACAAACTAACAAAAATGTTCTTTTTTCACAAATGAAAAGACAGGAAGATAAAAACAGGTCCTGCCTAGGGGGAGGGTACCAGTGGGAGAGGGGAGGGCATAAGGAAAGGGTGAAGGAGGGTGAAGACAGTGGAAGGATTTTTATTCATGTATGAGAATAGAACAATGAGACCTGTGGAAATTGTTCTAAGAATGGGGAAAGAGGGAGAAAGGAGAAAGATGGAGGGGTGAATCTAAGATATATTATAAGCCCTTACATAAAAGTCATAATGTACAACTATAATATGCTAATAATAAAGGGTATGAGTCAGAGAGTGACACAAGACTTCATTTTTTTGGGAGGTACTGGGGTTTGAATTTGAGGTGTGCGCTTGCTAGGCTGGTACTCTACTACTTGAACCATGCCACCAGCCCAAGACTTCCATTTTCGAAAGATTACTTAGGCTACAATTTGGGGGGTGGTGAATGAGACAAGGCTAGTGGCAAAGAGAGTAGACAGTGGCTAAAGCACTCCAGATGAACAGTCATGGTGGGTCAGGCCAAAGCAGTGCCAGGAGAGATGGAAAACAGGAACACAGTGAGGAGACAGGAGAGAAGATGGACAGCACCTGTCAGAGAGAAAGGAGTCAAAGGGTGACCCCAAGCTTCTGTTAGAGTGTGTATATAAAAGGAGCAACTTTATAGAGAAAATGATGGGCTCAGATTTGTACAAGATCACTGTGATTTCAAGGTCACATGGGGGGTGAGCAGGAGACATCTGGGATGGAGACCAGCATTTCTCCCTCCCTGAGTTGTTTCTTATCTTTAAGTGTTAAAATAATTTTGGAGGATTATAAATTGTACCCTTTGTTAATCTACCGAGAAGAGGGATGTGTTAGGCTTGTTAAAAGTTGTTCAGGAAGTTGTGTTTACTTTTAGAAGTCAGTGATCCTTGAATGAAGAGACTGGCTGTAATTCAGAGGTGGAGTCTTGTTCTTGATGGCAAATGTAATGTTGTAGTATATGACAAGTGTTCTAGGACTTTGATGTTGCACTCTGTTTTGCTAACTGAGTTAATAAATTCAGTGTAAGGTACTTTCTCGGACTGTTTAGTGTGCTGTAAAAAATACCATAAATTGCATGGGTTATAAACATGAGAAAATTACTTTTCACAATTCTGGAGGCTGGGAATTCCAAGATGAAGGAACAGTTTATTTAGTGTCTGGTGAGGGCGTTTTCTGGTGAGGGCTGTTTTCTGGTTCATAGCAACTCTGGCTGTGTCCTCATGTAGCAGGTGGACTGAGGAGTCTCTCTCGGGCCTCATTATAAGGATACTAAGCCTATTCATTCAAGGCCCTGCCCTCACTGACTAATCACCTCCTAAAGGCACCACTTCATAATGTATTAAAATTTCAAAATAGGAGTGTTGAGGTGACACAAACATCAGACTGTCACAGGTGTGGGTCTTCGTAGAAACAGCCTCATGGTTGTGCCAGATAATCTGGCTTTATATATGGCCTTGTCATTTATCAATGGTATGTTTTTGTGCAAAAATTCTCTGTTTTTGGTGGTACTGGGGTTTGAACTCAGAGCCTTGCATTTGTCCAACAAATTATTTAACTGCTCTGACTTTGTTGTGTCACTTACAAAACAGAACAAATATTATCTGTCATATGTTGTTGTGAGGACTGAGTTAACACAAAGCATTTAGAACAGAAGTAAATGAATATAGCTGTCATTATTATTATTATAGCTCTCAGCAGTATTGTTAATAGATGGGACACAGTTTCTGAGGTGACAAAAGCCTTCATTAAGTTAAATCTGTAGCGTGCACTTCTGGGTGCCCAGCTCTACGCAAGAGGGCGTTTATGCATTCCAGGGATAGCTTCCCCAAAGATGGAATTACTTGTGGTGCTATGAAGATGATCACAGTTTGCTCACCATTTCCTTCCTTGTAATTATGGAGTGGGTGGATATGTTTTGGGAGGAAACTGAGGGTGGTTAGCTGCATATTAATAAGAAACTGGGGAAATATTAGTAGTTCAGCTACTTCTGTACCACTAATGATATTTTCTCTCAAACTTGCAGATTTTAGTTCTCACATTTTTCCATTCCATGAAAAAATGCTTCCTATTCAAATTTATAGATAGTCTAAAGTTATAATAAAGATAGTCTCTTCTGAAAAAGCTTTAATTTTCATTTATAATCAAAAGAAATGGAGGAAGAAAGGCAGACCTGTGCTCATGTGTAAGGATGTGGGTCGAAGTCCTGATGTCAGGTTTGAGCTAGTGAGAAGGAATGTGAAAACATGGTGTGACAGCACTAAACAGTCAGTGTCCCTAGAAGGTGGCCACTCGCACAATCAGATAAAGCTGTCTGTTGATCTCCCCTGGAATCGTGGTATGGAAAATGAACTCATGCAAAAGAGAGGAGAGAGTGGTTGTGCTTATGTGACTGCTATCTTCACTGTTACATTCTTTCCTGTCAACTAATGTTTTACTTTGAATTTTATAGGAGTTCGAAAGTGATTATGTTGTGTTTAAGTCCAAAACTTTGGATTTTAACAGAAGGCTCGGGACGCTCCTTTGTGAAGGTTTCTGTAACTGCAGTGTTTGGAAGCTGCGTTTAAGGTTAGTGAAGAAGTTATGAGGAAATGATTCCTAAACTGTTAGCTGAGAGGGCAAATGCATTCTTTTCCCATTCAGGTGAAGTACTGACTACATTAGTTGCATTCCCTTCAATTCAGCACTACTGAATAATGAAATTTAGTTCAGCAAGGTCATTTTTAGGACATTTAGCTGTTGATTCTTTCTGGCATCCACAGTGTTTTTCACTCTCATTATCTTTAAAGCAAGTTTGGCCTGGTCAGTGAAATAATGGTTCAATGTTAAGCCAGTGAAAAGTGAAAAATACCAGTTAACTCAGGAATTTCTTTCCCATTGTTTCTATATGTCAGGTTCTCCTGCCTCCTTTACTACTCTGACAGAAACAAACATAGCAGTTTAAATATTGTGTTTCATCAGGTGTGTGGCATGCTTATACACCAATAAAGAAATAATTGCTAAATAATTATTCCATTGGTTGTAAAAGGCATTCCAGTTTCAGAAATATTATAACATGAATGTTTTTGCCATAGAACTGATTAAGTAAGTATATGCGTATTAAGAATTGCATAAAAGAAATGCATCTTGATAGTTCCCCAAAATTGAAAGCTTTAATGTGGTAATAGGAATGCTATGTGAAATTTGCTGGTCAAAGACGAGAAGTACAAGTGCAAATTAACAATTAGGTGACATCCCCCAAAGAAAAATTATTCGCTCTCTAAAGAAACATGTTGGGGAATCATGGGCACAGTTTGTCGAGGATAGCAGTGCAAAATGAAACAGCAGACAGATTTTTTACAAAAGATACTGTTTGATTTTGACCTTCAAATTCAAGTGAATTGACCAGGGAGTGGTCCCCAATGTCCTCTGGCTTCAAATTAACACTTTAACATGGAGAATTCATTAGGCAGAAATGGTACTTTGTTTTTTAAAAAAACTCCTTGGTCTACCTGAGATGCCGTTGGCTAAAATATGCAGCTTGTTGTTATCTCATTTCTCAGGTACGATTACTATTATGTTTAATACTGTCACTGTTTTTCTTAGACTAGATATTCATAAATACTTCTCTTGGTCACAAATGACAACCTATTCTGATCCTCTTTTGTGGTCTTTCCCACTTAGCAGTCACTCATATTTTTTTTTCTTGCCTTTATAACAGAATTCAACACTATTATTTTTCTAGCATTGTAGTAATCTATCATATTTCTGTTATTGGAACTTGTTTCTTTTGTGCTTTTGTAAGGAAACAGATGAATGGAGAGTGAAATCTCAATTACAGAGATCTCTAATTCAGCCTAATTAGAAATCTAATTCAAGTCTTCTTGCCCTTCTCACAACGATTACATGAGAATTAAATTTTTCTAAATAGTATTATCTCTTGCCTTATTGTCATGTGGTTTTAAACAGCTTTTGCCATATTTGTACCTTGACTACTGAAAAAACATAAGATGAAATTCTGCCCATATAAACTTTGTGATGATAGGGCATAATCATATTGCTTTCGTTAGATTTAGGTTGCCTTCTGCAGTTCCTTGTAGACAGCAGGCACTAAATAACTGCATGAGGTTAGTTAAACTAACTGGTAAATTGAGTATCAAAATAACACATTGATGAGGGTAAACTGCTGGAAGAGTCATAGCAGCAGAAAAAAAATTACAGGGTTGTGTACTTTAGGGAAAAAATGATTTTAACCAATAGATACAGGTTGATGAATTCTGACCACTTATTGTTGGTTCCAAGGAAGAAATAGTTGTAGGGTGCTCTCTGAAGATGACAATTTGATGTCTGCTCTTTTCAATGACATGGCCAAGAAAAAAACTAAACATTATTCTAGTACTTCAAAACCTAGAATGCTGGCAGTCACTAAAAACCACAGCACTAATAAGTAGCATTCAAAAATTTGCATGAAAGGGAACTGAAATATGTAAGGAAAATAAAAGGGTCTAGAAAAGACTTTAGACAACATGTAGGTTGAATGCCCTACTCCAAAACTCAGAAATCAGAAATGCTCCAGAATCCAAAGCCTTCTGAGCTCCAATATCACCCACAGGTGGAAAATTCCACACCATAGATGATGGTGAATCCTGACTGTCAGTTTGACTGGATTGAGAGATGTCAGGGAGATTAGGAAAGCCCACCTGTGTGTGTCTGTGAGGACTTTCCAGAAATGATTAATCACAAGGGCTCTGACCTAATGAATGGTTTAATCCATTGATGGAGTGAAAATATGAACAGACAATTAGAATTGTAGAAGTAGGACATTGGAGAGTATGTCCTTGGGGCTGTAGTTTGCCCTGGCCCCTTCCTGGTCCAGCTCTGCTCTGCTTTTTGTCTGTTATGATATAAGCTGCCCCACCCCCTCCTTCCTGCATCATGGACCGAAACCCCTGAACCCTGAGCAAACAAATCCTTCCTTCTATAAATTGTTTCTCTCAGGTATTTTGTCACAATGATAGCAAAACTAACGTACCATGAAACTTTGTTTGATGTACAAAAGTATTAAAATATCATATATAATTATGTTCAGTCTGTATATCTGATACATATGAAATAAATGAATTTTGTGTTTTGACATGGGCCCTCCCCAAGATATCTCATTATGAATATGCAAATATTTCAAATTTTAAAAATCTGAAAATGAAACATCTTTGAGCCCAAGCATTTCAGATAAGATATATTCAACCTGTATGAAAACTATAAAATTGTAAAGTATATGAGCTTTAGGTGCCCTCTAAAAAATCTTTGAAAGACATAAATCCTTGAAAGATATAAATTTTGTACTACTTTGGACATTGGCAGCAGAGTTGTGAAAAGCTTTATTACATTAGGAAACTGAGGAGTAGAAGAAAATATAAACCTTACAGACCTTAAATGGGACATTTAGAGAAAGCAACATGGTGGAAATCAATCTTTAGCCTTTTGAGGTCAAAGCAAAGGAAAATCTATACCTTTCATACCAAAGCTCCTGATTCTGCCACAATAAGGACGTAAGAGGTTCCAGTGTCTTCTGTGATGTCTTTTGTGATGATGAGTGATTATGACAATGTAAACTACCTTAAGAGGTTGAAACTTCTGTTACTACTTCATGGCTTTACAACTTCCCCCGAGAGTATTGTCTCTGTCTTTCTTCTTTCACACTTGTTATTTTAAGTACCACTAAACATGTAGATGTAGCTAGGAAGCATCTGGTCTTATATCAGTTGTGAATATAAGTGCTTGAAAAGTGGTATTGTGAAATGTATTTCCCAGTTGTTGCTGGGGTACTCTTTGTTAAATCTATGAAACAGTGTTGACTTTTGAATTTACATGAAGTCCAAACTCAACAAAAAAATAACTTTGAGAAAAAGTTAATAATTTACATTTTGCTAGGTAGCACTAACCAAGCAGACTTAAAAATATGCAGTAGTTTCTGCTCCAGTTGTACTTGATGTTACCAGAAAGAGCCAGATTGTTTTTGTCTAAATTGGCCACTAAGATGTAGATAGATTTCCATTTTAGTTTATATAATTTTTTCATTGAGGGTAGTTTATGGAAACTGTTGCAGAAGTTTTAAAATGAAGCTTTTATAGAATAAGTTTTGAGGGACACTTACTATTTTCCTAAGGAAAAAAGAACACAATTTTTTTTGTCTTGCTTATAACGCAGAAGCCTTGTACACAGGTTTTATGCCATCTTAAATATATTGTCATTTTGAGATGTCTTTTAAAGAAAATATTTGCGTAAAATGCCTAATAGTGGGCCTATTATGAGGTCCATATGAAAAAAACAAATAATAAAATCCGGTAATCTCCCCTGTCCACAGGGATACATTCTGAACCCCCCAATGGATGCCTGAAACTTTGAAGCACTGAGCCCTGTGTATGCTGTTTTCTCCTGTACTTACAGCCATGATAGTTTAGTTTATAAATTAGGTACAGTAAGAGAGTAATGGTAATAACTAATAAGAAACAGAATAATTCTAACTGTAATATAATAAAAGTTACTTGAAGCACATGAATTGTTTATTTCTGGAATTTTTCATTTGATAATTTTCACCTGCAATTAACCAGTGGTAAATGAAATCATAGAAATCAAAATCTTGTGCAAGAGGGGACAGTATGACATACCTTTCAGTGATGTCATACTCTTATAACATACTCTTAGCTGATAAGAGGCTATGCATTGAAGCATAGACCTAGGTACCAGATGATCTGGTTTTAAATCCCAGTTCTGCCACTAGTCATATGAGTTTTGGAAAATTATTCTCTCTCCACAACTATTTTCTTATCTGGAGTAGTCAAAAATAGCATGTTTTAGGCTCTTAATAAATAGTGGTTGGCACATATAGTACTGTATAAACACTGGTCACATAGAAATATCAGTTACATCATTTTGATTTCAGTGAAAGCCATCTCATGCTAGCACACAGAAAAATTCACATTGGGAGTAAACAAGATAGAGGCTAACGGGAAAGCAAGGTTAGGGTCGCTTAGCTCAGCATCATGAAAGTAGTGCTAGAAGTTTCATTGAGCAAGAGGAGGGTGCCAACCTCCACTCTTCTGCCTTGTTGTCAGTGTGATCCTGTTGAGTTCATATGACATGCTTTTTCTGTCCCACTCTCCATTGGCTTCCACTGCTCACTATTAGTTTCTGATCTCCTATGACTTTAGCTGGCATAGATTCAGTCAACCATGTGCTGACTGTTTCTAAGAAACAGAGAATCTGATTAGGTCTGATGAGCCAGGCATTCATATCAAAGGGTATGCCTACCAAGAAATGGTTGTTTTGGGGACAGTGACCATTGTTGCCCCAGGCTATTGTTAGGTGTAGTTAGCTTCTTGGGGGGTGCACCAACAGCTGTGGAAAGAAGACTCACTGGAATTGGTATATTTGGCACAATTATTGGCAGTGTGACCAGGAAGGCCTCCATATGAATATGGATATTCTTATATCTAAAAAATGCATACATAAGAGGGAAGAACAAATAGTATACATATAAGCCTTGCTTCTATTTTTACATTCACATTTCCAAAAATATTTTCTGACACCCATCATGAAGTAATATTAGCCATGAGCAGGGGCTAGTGGATCATTTCTCTGACCTTCCTCAATTTCCACTGAGAAAAAGAAGTTACATCTAGAATTTGGTTTATTGGCTATGTAGAAATTTCAGGAAAATACAAAACTATGTTTTTATTCTGAGGTATGACAGGATATTTTAGGGTTCTTGACTTTTCAGAGGAAAAGTCATATAAAAGGTTTAATGGGAAAAGTTGTGAACTGAATGTTTGTATGAAAATTTCATAGTTTTTAACTTTTCTTTAATTTTTTTTATAGCTTTTGACCATATTTGGGAATTTTCTGGAGAAACCAGTTGTCATGGAAATTTTCAGCCCACATTACAGCACGTTAGTGAATATGTTTAATACAGAGTTGGATATGTGTAAGCAATTATATAATGAGCACGTGAAACAGGTAAGTGGTGGTAAGGTGGAGCACATTCACAATATTATTTTGTGTGTAATGCCCATCATCTAGAATTATATTCATTTATAGCTAAAGATTAGATATAAGGCACTAAATTTTTAATACTTTTATTTAATGGGTTTTCTTGTGGAGATGAAGAACTTGCTTTGGGACCATAACTTTCTATGAATCAAATTATTAAACACATATGTTATATACCACTGTTAAAAGTACCAAAATGAGTGATTGCTCACAAGGTTGGAAGCACCCTGATTAAATGTTCCCTTTCTTCCTCATCACAAAAAATCAACTTGCAGATTGAACATGGACAGGTAGTTCTTCACAAGAATATGCCATTTACTTCCGGAAATATCAAGTGGGCCAAAGAGGTTCTTGAACGCCTTCAAACATTTTGGTCAAACTTTACATCTCTCCATTATCTGTAAGTTGGGCTTATTTCATATGTGAATGTTATGGGTTTTTTTTTTTTAATAAGGCAGCAAGCTGTTTATTTTGGCACTTAAGAAGTTATTGCCTTATTTCATTTGTTTCACTATTGGGTTTGCTGAGAGGGATTCATCACCATGGTTTTGGAATATTTTTTAGGGGAACTCTTTTAACTTCATTTATTTACATGTTTTCAGATCCTTTTCTCTTTTCACCCATAATATGTTTGGAGTTTTTTATTTTTCCCTTTGTCCAATAACAAACACAACTGTTACTGTGTAGTTCTTTGTGCCTTTTTCATGTCTTTGTAGAAATTGGTGACTTGTTGCTATTGATGTTTAAGAAAATCTTCAGAGCTCCATTCATTATTATATTTTCTTGCTTTTAAACCAAAAGCAATAACAACTCAAAACCATTACTTGATTTTTGTTTCTCTTCATTATTGTTTATAATGTATTATATTCTATATATTTTGAGTTATGTATTGTATCATAAAATAAGCTATAATCTGTCAATATATAGAAAAGTAAGAAATCTTATTCCTTCAGATTCTTGGACAATCCTGATGAAACTACAGTTTATCAGAAGTATGTTGAAATGACCACTTTGCTAGACCAATTTGAAAACCATATTTATAATGAATGGAAAATTCATGTGGATGAAATCTGTGAATTCAATTTGAATCAACCCTTGGTCAAATTCAGTGCCATGAATGGTCTTCTTAGTGTCAACTTTGACCCAAAGGTAGGGAGATTTGTTTTTCTGAGATGTTTTGTAGATTCTGTTCTTATTATATTTCTAAAATACTTTCTGATATAGTTATAAATATGTTTCCAACCATTTATCCTTAATTTTGGGAAAATGTCAGTTCTGTGAGGAACTTAAACACCTTCTAGTAAAGCTTTTACAGATTTTTTTCTTAAATTCTTTCTTTATCTTTATTATTTTCTCTTGTAATTGCTTCTTTGCCACCCCACCCTCACTTGGTAGTGAACTGTGAAAGTAGGAATCATTCCTTTTCTTCTTTGTGTTTTATATTTTTAGAATGGTGTCTAACACTTGGTAATAATAAATGTTAGCTCAATTGAAATAAATCTTTGGTCTTTACCATCCCTGAATATTTTCATAACATATACCAGCTTTTTAATTAATTAAAACTTTATTATGAGCCAGGCATGGTGGCTCACACCTGTAATCCCAGTTACTTAGGAGTTTGAGGTAAGAAAATCATCGTTTGAGGCTGGCCCAGTCAAAAGTGAAAGACCCTATCTGAAAAACTAAAAGCAAAACGGCTCAGGGTATGATTAAGCAGTAGAGTACTTACCTAGCAAGCATGAGGCCTTAAGTTCAATCTTCAGTATTGTCCCCTTTTATATGATAAAAAGTCTTTATCATGTAAGTTAAGATTTGGGAAATCCACAAATGAAATGAAATAAAGACTCAGCATGCTTTTTTCTAGACAATGTTAAATTTCTGTTGATCATAGTTTCTTTCAAATGAAAAATAGGCTTGTTTATGGTGGTTAAATTGATGGTAATTTTAAAAAATAAGTTTTATCAAAAATATGAAGTAACTTATTAATATAAAAATAATGATACTTAAGTAATACTCAGGATGAATATTGCCTTTATTGAACAGATCTTTTGTGTCCAATGACATATCATATCACAAAGGGAAATGTCATGTTTTCTCAATCATTTCCTCATGTCATTACCTGTTAAGTAGCAGCGAGAGTACAGAAATCTTATTAGTGATTGTGTGTATATGAATGTGTGTGTACAAGTTATAGAATACAGTATGTGCACCTCTAGTAAGTATTAGGTATGTGTATATGTGAATACATTTATATGTATGTGTATTTTAAACAACTTACCTCCAAGTCTTTTAGGCTTGCTAGAGAACAGGTAGAAAATAAGCTTTCTTTTCTATTTACCTACCATGGATATACTTTATAGTAAAGAGTAAGTTTCTTTATAAATTTTCATGACCAAAAAGGTGTAGCTTAAACAGCAACTGAATTTTTTGGTATGAAGATAATCTTTTCACTATTAGTGCTTATCCAGAGTCTTCTCAGCAGTCAAGTGCACAACTAGAAAGTGGGAGAATTAGCCTCACTGAGTATGAGGGTCATACCCTGCACTCTAATTCTGGTGTTTCCCTGAAACATATACAAAGACTAGTATTACTTTATTTTGTTAATGAAACTCAGCACGTATATATAAATATTTGATCTAGAGAGCTGATGATCCTCTACCTTCTGATTTCATAAAACCAACTTACAGAAACTAATTTCTTGAAATGTTTTAGGGATAGTTCAAATTACCATTAATTTCACCACCATATAAAAGCTTATTTTTCCTTTGAAAGAAGTTACAATTAATAAAAACATGCCCCTGTCCACAAAAAGTGTAACTGTTCTTCATTCTACACAGTCTATAGATTTCCCAAGACTTAACTTTCATGATGAAACTTTAATTAAAAAACTAGTATATGTTATAAACACAGCAGCACTCATGTATCTCTATTATATTAAGGAATGTATTATTTGGGGTTTTAAAAAGCATATGAAACAAAAGTGTATTTACCTTGATGTCTTGGAAATATAGTAATCATTGGATGAAATTTTAAGTGCTTCAAATTAAACTTGTGTTAAAATGACATTCTTAAAATGTACAATAATTCTGAATCATCTTTGAATAGCTCATGGCTGTGTTGAGAGAAGTGAAATACCTTTTGATGCTAAAGAAATCTGACATACCGGATTCAGCCTTAGCCATCTTCCAGAAAAGGAACATTCTTTTAAAGGTTTGTGGTTTTAGTTACTTACTCATATTTTGAATGGAAGTGTTTTGAATTTTAAATAGTAGAATATGACATTTTGATGCCACTCTGATCAAGAGTATTTGACCCTTTTTGTTTTGGGGTTTCTTTGTTTAGTACATTGGGAAACTTGAACTTCTTGTGCAAGGGTACAATAAACTGAAACAGACTCTTCTAGAAGTTGAATACCCTCTGATTGAAGATGAGCTGGGGGCTGTTGATGAACAACTCAAAGCTGCGGCGACCTGGCTGACATGGCAGGATGACTGCTGGGACTATGTGGAGAAGGTGCAAGTGGCCACCACCGAGTTGGAGTGTAGAGTGGTGCACACACAGAACAATATACAAGCTATCCAGCAGATGATGCAAGGCTGGGCGGAGTGTCCACTCCTGCCCAAGAAAGAGTACAGAAGGGATATAGCCTTGACCCTGGAGGACAAGAGGGATTTGTTTGCTAAAAAATACAAGCTAATCCAGGAAGATGGCTGCAAGATACACAACTTGGTAGAGGTAATTGCTTTGAAGATTTCAAAAGTTATAGGTCTTTTCATTTTGTTTAGAGAAGAGCAAAAATACTTAACCTAATATTGCAAGACTCTTACTGGGCCTGACAGAACTCTATGAATGGTTCTGTTAAGCATTTCAAGTGGAAATAGTCTAGGTTGTTGAGAATTATCATCGAACTGAACAAAGATCCTTGCTGTTATGGAACAAGGAAGAGGGGTACCAAGCAACAGACAAAATAAGTATGAGTGTGTTAGAATTGGAAATGCTGAAGAAAAAAGATCAGGTTAGAGCAGAATGAGGAGAATCCTGGAGTGTGGGGGTTAGGGTGCAGTTGAAATAGCACAGTTAGGGGCAGCATCAATGAAAAGGTAAAATTTGAGCAAAGACTTGACGAAGGCTGTAGAGTCAGCTAAGTGAGCATTGGAGTGGAGGGTGTTTTAGGAAGATAAAATAGCCAGTTGGCAGGACTCACTGGGTGTGTTTAGGGAAGACCAGGGAAGTAAGAGACTAAGAACAGAGGGATCAAAGTGGAAAGTAGGTGAAATGAGGTCAGGTGCTAACCTGTGTGAGGAGGGAACAAGCTGCTTAAGTGAGACTTTACAGGCCTTTGTGAAGACACTGGCTATTAATTACTTCAAGGTCAGTGGGGAGCCACTGCAGCCTTCTTTGGAGAAGAATAAGATTTGAGTTTTCAAAGGTTCTCTCTCTTGAGTCTATAGGGAGGCAAGAGAAGAAGCACTGAGATCTGGTAGGTTGCTTTAGCTGTAATCTAGAGATCTTGGTCTATTTAGGCTGCTATCACAAAATAAATTGGGTTGATTAGGAACCATATACATTTTGTTCTCACACTTAGGGAGATCAAGGTGCCAGCATGGTCCAATTCTGGGGACAGCTCTCAAATGGATTGCAAACTGCTCTGTCCTCACATGGTGGAAGGGTCACACAAGCTCCCTTGAGCCTTTCTGACAAGATACTAGTCCCACTCCTGAAGGCTCTTCCCCCAAGATCTAATCACTTGCCCAAAGCCCCACCTCTTTTTCCCATTCCTTGGTTTTAGAATTTCAGCATATGAATTTGGGGGGTGGGTACACAAACATTCAGACCACACATGAAATAACTGATGCCTGAATCAGTGATAGCAGTGGAAGTGATTAGAAACAGTTGCATTCTGCATATATTTGGAATGAAGTAAAGCAAACAGTTTTCTAATCAGCTAGCTATGGATGATGAAGAGAGAGATGTGAAGTATTAATCTATGAGTTTTGTACTGATCAACTTGGCGAGATGAGGTTGTGACCCATTCAGACAGGGACAATATAGGAGGAGGAGGTGTGGACGGGAAGATCAGGATTTCAGTTTTGGAAGCTGCACTTTGAGGTGTCTGTTAGTCAAGTTGGAGAGTTGGGTTGCAGTTAGATTTACTGGTGTGGAGTTCAGGAAAGGAATCATCCTGGAAAGAAATGCAAATTAAAGAGAATTGGGCAGCAATGATATTTAAGGCAGGAGGTGGGAAGAGATCACTGAGAACATGGGTGTAGCTACAAAATAAAAGACTATCAAGGACAGTTGGCCCAGGTGTCATTGTCCCTTTAGGAGACAGAAGAAAGGAGAAGCAGCCAGGAGTACAGAAATGGCACAGTGGCACAGCAGGAGGAAAACAAGGAGAAAGTATGGGCCTGGAAAATAAGTGAAGGAAGTGTTTGAGGAGTAAATTTTCTTTTTTTATTATAAATTTTTATTAGGGTATATTTATTGTAGGAGGGGATTCATAGTGACAATTCTGATTAGGCTTTTTTTCTGATATTGTATATTTGTTAGATCACCCCCATCCTCTCTGCCCCACTTAAAGCAATTGCAAGAAGTTTCTTTGTTCTATTTCATATAAGTACATGAAGTCAATCAACCATATACCCTCACCTTAATCTCCTTCATTCACCCTCCCTCTCTCTTTGTCACACCCTCACGCCACACACACATACTGTACCTATTTTACGGTTTGGTCTTTCATTATTTAAGTTGGTATTCAAAGGGGTTTCTCAATGTATCTTTGTCATGGGTTATACTTTACTTTGGTCCGTTCAACCCCTTCCATTACTCTCCCTTACCCCTTTACTGCCCACCCCCCATTTTCAACAGCTTTCAGTACACATTGTTGCATCCTCTACCTTCACAGATGTTATGTTTTATGATATTACTGATGCTTTATCATTCTTTTCTTTTCTGAGGGGTAGGTTTTCTTACCAAAATGGAAGAGGTGGTACATTTGATAGGCTATAGTGAATATGTGTATCAAAAAAAGAAGTCAAAAGAAGCAAAAAAATTAACATGGGCTTTGAAGTTTCTGTTGACTTCCAAGGTTGTCTGAAAGTTCTAAGTTGTCACTTCTACTCATGACAATTCACTGGGATGAAGACTTTGCCTCTGTCTTCTCTGCATGGCCTGTGCTAGTATCCTTGGGATACTGCAATGAAGTGCCACAAATGGGGGTTTTAAAATGATAGAAATTTATTTTCTCGTGGTCCAGAGGCTAGAAGTCTGAAGTCAAGGTGTGACCAAAGCCATGTTCAGTGCTGCCTAAGTCATGGGTATCCAGGAGAGAATCTTGTAGCTGTTCTGACACGTGAAGAAGGTATATGTCTGGAAATTCATCTTTTCTCCAGTATCTGGAATAAGTACTGCACTGAGTATCCCTAGGGATTCTGTGGGGTGCTATGAGTTATTTATTATTTGATTTTAGAATACTTCTACAACTGCTTTTATGCATTAGAATCTGTCTCACAGAGGACAGATGTTGAATCAGAACTAGTTTTTTTGTTGTTGTTGTTATATTTTCTTGATAATAAAATAATGTACTCCCCAAACTCCAATCTAGGCACTTTTAACCATTAAGATTTATGAATCCTGATTCAAATTGAAAGTTGGTCCATACAAGACATGACTCAAAACCATTATCAAACAAAGTTTTGTGATATTCTTTCAAGGAATAAGGTTGGAATTTTTCTAATAAATGGATTCTAGTTTTTTTAAGTCAAAAACTAAGAAGCTTTGAAGTCATAATTCTCAGAAGAGGACTTCTGATTAAAGGAATTACAGGCAAAGTTCAAACTGAAGTTTAATGACTCATGCACTGTGTCCTTTGGGTGATTTCCCCACTTTTGACTTCTCAGTGCCTGACTGTGAACCCAGTTCTCATGCTGCTGATGAGGACTGTGGGTTGGGGAAAGCTACAGGGACACCCAGTCTGACTCTTCCTGCTGCATCCTTTGGCTTATGGGATGTCAGTGATTCATCTAGAAGAGTTTCAGGTGGAGAGAGAAGAAAGAAGGGCAGAACAATGGACAATGGTTCTAGAAGGAACCTGCATAATCATTTAATGGCTCCCCTTTCTGTTCTTTCTTCTTTTACAACATTTGTTACAAATGCTACAACCGTGTTATAAACTGTTTTCTCTTGGTATGAAAAAGTATATGACCATGATGTATCAGAAAAGGACCATAACATAAGATGGCTGGCTTTTAGTCCTGGCTCAGCTGCTAAGTTCCTTCCAGGGTGACAGTGGCTGTGTTCTGGGTCTTTATTTTCATATCTTTAACATGAGGAGACTTAATAAGATGGTCTTTAGGATTCTTTTTGCTTTTGCTCTCAGACCTATGCTTTTCCTTTCTACTGCCTACAAAGGAATGAGGCTGCTGGGTATAGTTTCCCGGGATGTGCATTTTGCAACTACTGGGGTCCATACCCCAGTAGTCATATAGACTAACAGATGGGAATGTTTCCAGCTAGATGGTGGGCAACATAGTATCTCCAAGAGCAGCAATTCTTAAGTTTGAGGACAACAGACCCCTAGATTTCTTTCCTCTCTCTGCCTTGCCTCATCAGGAGCTAGATTCACCTCTGTAGTTCTTATTCTTGTATAATGTACCTTTGTCTCCAGGCTCATGTATCCACAGCAGAGAATAATCAAAGAAAGCAGAGAGTAGAGTCCACCTTATCAGTTCTCATTCCAGTGTTGCCTTTTCTCTGTGTTGTAGTTTCCGCCCTGGGCATCTGATGGCTAACCTGTGTGGACTATGAAATCTTTGCTACACAGGTAGTCCCTTGTTGCCCATGTGATCTGTTCATGTCTGTGTCTCTAGGCCTAGCACACTGTATGCCTGACCTATAGCAATCCTCCCTAACCACACCTCTGTTTTGTGGCCCTGTTTTGCTACACTGATTTGCCTGTTATTTCATCCATGTTCTTGGGAAGTGCTGAGGTAGAAAAGCTCATCTTTTGGAAGCACAAAAGCAGCTGAGATGTCACCAGTCCATTGTTTCCCAAACTGGGTTTCCCATAGGCTGTACATGTGCAAGAGATTTTTTAAAATAACAAATGTTGAATTTGTGTTTGAATAAGGGATAGAGACAATTAGAATAAATCAAATTCAATGGACTTAATATAGTAGTAACACAGTGAGTCTTCAAGAATGTGTACAAACTTCCCTGGTTTACTGCTCTTCAGAATCCCCAAAATAATGTTCTTAGAAGGACCACTTTGTTCATTTAGAGGCAGGGTCCCAGAAGGAAAGTTTAAGATTATGTAGAGTTCGGGACAGAGCAAGAACTAGAGCCAGGTTCAATTCTTCTAGAGTTTATCGGAAGCTAGTATATTTCTTATCTGTATTTGAAGATAGCAGTCTTCATGTAGATTTCTCCTTTAAAGAATGACTTTTGGATGTACATTGTATATGAATGTAATGTTTATAAAATCCTGCTTAGATCTTTGGCATCCACCTCAAGATTCTGCAGCCTAGCATTTGACTCTTCCTGTGATGTACACAAAAATTCAGTCCTTTCTCTAACAAGCCGTTGTGATGGGAAGCTCTTGTTTTTATATTTGTTATTGTCAATATTCATCTTTTAACACTTGTCTGTTTCTAGGAAAACAGGAAGCTTCTCAAAGCCAACCCTTCTCTGGACACCTGGAAAATTTATGTGGAATTCATTGATGACATTGTGGTGGAAGGCTTCTTTCAGGCTATCTTGCATGACTTAGACTTCTTCCTGATGAATACAGAGAAGCAATCGAAACCTGAACTATTTTTTCAAGCACAAATGATCTTGATGCCACCTGAGATAGTGTTTAAACCTCCTTTAGAAAGGGAGGCTGTGGATGGCTTCTATGACCTGGTGGAGGAAATGCTCTGCAGTAGTTTTAGGATGTCTGCCCAGATGCAGCGAGTAGCAGCACATCTGGATATAGCGAACTATCAGGTATTTCTTGGAAAATGGGTGTTCACTTAATAATCCAAAAATAAACTGGGATAATGGGACACACACAAAAAGAAGTTGGTAATGGCAACATAATTTTTTATTTTGAAGAATTACCTGAATAATGTTGTGTTACGTATAACTGATAGGTAACATAAGAATTTTTGAATAAATATACGTGCTTGGTTTTCCTCTCATTTAGAATGATATGGACAACATGTTAGGCCTGGTGGAAGTCAGGCAGGAGATAATGAACCGAGTTGCAGATGTCATCAACAAAGTCTTGGATTTCAGAAATTCCCTGGAGACCTACGCTTACCTTTGGGTGGATGACCGAGCAGAGTTTATGAAGCACTTTCTCCTGTATGGCCATACCATGCCATCTGAGGAAATGGGTGCTCATGCAAATGAAGAGCTCCCCGAACAACCACCAAGTCTTGAGCAATTCAAAGAACAGGCAAGGAAACCCTTCACATTTAATGTCATTAATTGACTTTTCCTGGGATTATTGCAGTTGTTTATTTAGTTATTTAGTTATTTATTTATTTTCTAATCTATAGATTGACATTTATGAGGCTTTGTATGTTCAGATGAGCAAATTTGAGGACTTCAGAGTGTTTAACAGTTGGTTCAAGGTGGACATGAAACCTTTCAAACTGAGCTTGCTAAATGTGATTAAAAAATGGAGCTGGATGTTTCAAGAGCATCTTCAAAGATTTGTCATTGACAGGTAGCCTTCATATTTTGGTATTTGAAATTATACCAACTTTTGTTAAGAGTTGACTGCTTTGTAATTAAGGTATTAATTTTAAGGGAATTGTCACTTTTGATTTCATAACAGATAATGAGTGATGTCAAATGAGGTACATAAAGAAAATAAGATTCCATCAAGTTAATGTTTTAATGAGCTTAGTTTATGTGTGTATATATGTGTATATATATGTATATATGTGTATATATATTTAATAGTCTGAATGAGCTACAAGAGTTTATAAAGGATACAGATGCAGGACTTCAGAGAAAACTGAATGAAAGTGATCACGATGGCTTAGTTGACATCATGGAACATCTTCTGGCTGTCAGAAGCCGACAGAGAGCTACTGATGAACTCTTCGAACCTCTGAAAGAAACCATCACACTCCTAGAAAGCTATGGCCAGAAGATTCCAGAGCAAGCCTATGTTCAGCTGGAGGTAAGTGTGGAGGGGAAATCCTATAATGACCATAAATTGAGCATTTCCTTCACCAGGTGCTTTACACACACTCTTATGATTTCCTCATCATAACCTATACTGTAGGCATTCATACTTTCATTTTACAGGTTAAGAACCTAAAGCATAAAGAGATTAATAACTTTTTCAAGGTCATATAAGTAGTAATGCTAGCCAACACTAAACTCTAGGTGTGCTTCATGGCAAATTCTCACTTTTAACTACTGAGCTCCACTGCCTCCTTGACAGAGGTATCTAAGTTGTGGACAGTCTCTAGGTTGCTCTGTTATATCTCAGATTTATCATCACTTTTACATGTGAAATAAATCTTTTTCATTCAAAATCACTTGCCAGTTAGAGTGTCCTAGGGTTGGAAACACATAGTGGACATGTTAGTAAAGAATAAATAAATAAGCAGGTGATGTAGTACTTGCCTATAACCCCAGCTTCTCAAGAGGCAGAGATTGGGAGAGAATCACAGTTTGAAGCCAGCTCAAGCAGACACTTCAAAGGACTCCATCTCAATCAACGAAAGCTGGGCATGATGTGCTCCCGTCATTCCAGGTATGCAGAAGTATAAAAAGGAAGATCGTGGTCCAGGCCAGCCCAGGCATAAATGAGAGACCCTACCTATTAGAAATATAGCTAAAGCAAAAATAGCCAGGGGCATGGCTTAAGTGGTAAAGCACCTGCCTAGCAAGAACAAAGCCCTGAGTTCAACACTCAGTACTGAAAAGAGAAAAAAAAAAGTAAAGCCTCATTTGGATGGAGAACTCACTATGTTTCCAAAACAGACTTTTGTGCCATCTTTGTGTTTTCTATGCTCTGGAAAGATTTGGTGGCTGCTGTGTACCAAATGATGAATGAAGTCTTCTTAATTATGACTGAACTAATAAACCAAGATTTCACCACTGAGGCTCTGCTGTCCTGCCCATATGGAAGTTCTATAGGTAGGGTGTGGGTTCCAGCCTGGGCTTCCATTTAGCCTTGCAAGTGTGGCCAGTGGATGCATTAACCAAAAAGCTTTCATTGAATGCCAGGCCATCTAGGTTAGTGGTCAGAGCACACAACTCAAATTTATTTTGTTTTAAATATTGGACAAATTCATTTCATCTGCTTGCCTTGTAAGTTGGTTCATATTACAGGGTATGCTTTTTTTTTTTTGGCAAAGTATTTGTCAAGATTCTTTAAAAAAAAATTTTGTCTATACATGTTATCTGTTATTTCTTACTTTCTGTTCATTTTTAAAAAAATACATATATGATCTTAGCTGGGTGCCGGTGGCTCACGCCTGTAATCTCAAGAGACAGATCAGGAGGATCGCAGTTTGGAACCAGCCCAGGCAAATAGTTCCATGAGACACTATCTCGAAAAACCCTTCACAAAAATAGGGCTGGTGGAGTGGCTTAAGGTGAAGGCCCTGAGAAAACATAAAACAACAAAAAAAACCCATTTATACTGTTCTTTCTTTTTATTGACATGAATTCACAACTAAGATAACATAAAAGTAACATTTTAAATGTAGAATTCAGTGGCATTTAGCACACACTGATGTGTAAGTACCGCGTCTATCTAGTCACCCCGAATTTTCTTCACCCCCAACAAAAAACTCTACCCGTTACTTGCTAATCCCTCGCTATTCTCCTCTACCCCTGGCCAACTGCCAATCCTTTTCTGTCTCTGTGGGTTTACTTACTCTGTATATTTCATATAAGTGGAATTATACAATATGTGACATATCATGTTTGGCTCCTTTCACCTGATAAAATTTTCAAACTTCATTCACCTTGTAGCGGGTATTGTCACTCCATTCTATTTTATGGCTGAATGATATTCCATTGTGTGTGTATATCACAGTTTGCTGACCTGTTCAACTGCTGATGGACATTTTGGTTGTTTCCATCTTTTTGCTATTGAGAATAGGTGAATAGTGCTGCTATGAACATTATTTGAGTGCTGCTTTCAATTCTTTTTGGCATGCACGTAAGAGTGGAGTTGCTGTGTTGTGTGGTAATGCTATATTTAACTTTTTGAGGAGTTGCCAAACTGATTTTCACAGTGGCTGCACAATTTCATATTTCATTTTTTGTGAGGATTAAATGTAACCATGTATTAACAAGTGCTCTCCTAACTATAAGAATTGCTATATATGAGTTATTAAATTATTTTTAAGTAAAAAACCATTCTTAGAGCTGATACTCCTGTTAGACCTGGAGTGAGAGATCAAGCTGTAGACACATAGATATATGACAAACAGAAATGAAATAGCTAGAGTAGTACTAACTATAAATATTTTCTTTTAAAGAAAGATTTGTATATTCTTTGAGTCAGATCTTGGACCTTGAAGTCATCACATAAGTAATCAGTGAGGGGGATTTTAGACATGGCCTCCAGAATTTGTGTTGTAAAAGTTTGCCATATTTCTTCATTGAAAATAGTAGGTTCTTCATTATTTTGAAAGCAGGATACCTATGTGATCTTTAGCTATATGTGTATCACTACACAAGTGATTTAGGCTGGTCAGGAGGAAAAATACAATTCACATAAAAAGTAGCAGGAAGCCAACTTTACTTTAATTACTTGTGATAATTACTCAGTTTCTCCTTCATTATCATGAATAGTTGTAGCATTTTCCACATTTTGTCTATTCTTAATGCTATGCTAAACACAAAACAAAACAAAAAATCTTAACGGTGTTTGAGTGTCGTTTCCTTAAAGTCATGGGAATCAACCCTCAACAAGGGGTCTCTGGGTGTAGCATCTTTAAATCTGTCACCTTTGTTCCATTTCTGTAACACACATCTCAATTCAGTTCTTGTTACTGTCAACCTCAGTACAGCAGTAGGATATTAAATTCACCATATTCTTCCTCATACCGCGCCTACAGTACAAAGTCAGACTAAAATTCTTATCCACAGATCTTATAAAGTCATTCCCTGCTCAGAAGCCTTCATCTGCTGCCCGTCTCTTGAATACTTCAGTTTGCATAAGAGCCCGCCCTCTCCCTCATCCTGTTTTGGTAGTCCAACCTCAGAGGATCTCCACCCTAATCTCTGCCCACTGAAATCTAGTCATCCCTTTGAGTGTTAGATTCAATATTACCTCCTCCTTGAGTGCAACACATCAGTTCAATAGATGTTGGAGGTCATTTGATCTTTTTATTTTCAAGAAAACTTATTTTCATCAAGTAAAGCTTGTAAGAATGCCCAAACATAAAGCAGATCTGCTGAGTAAGGAGGGTGACAGGGCCAGAGCTCTCTAATAGGATTTTCCTTGGCTTCAGGCAGAGGCCTCCAAGGTGCCTCCATGTAATATTTTGGTTCCATGAAATGGACTTGCAAATGCGGAGGGAGACTCTGACTGTACCAATGACAATGTGAGGTTTTGACAAAAGGAAGCACAAGATGAAAGGACAGGGGTAGAACTCAGGTCTCTTGGTTCCTGAGTTGTTTGGTGTTCGTGCCTTGATACTACATTGTTCCCTAACTGCACGGATTCCATGACACATATGCCCCCCAGTAGAAGTTGACACATATGCCCCCCAGTAGAAGTTAACACATTCTGTCATGTACAGCAGTGGTGTGTACTTCTTGCTCACTCTGACAGATTATATAACAATTTAAGTCAAAGAATGTATTTTACCTCTGAAGCAACCCTTCCTCCTCACCACACAAATGCTATTTATGCTTAGCATAGTGTACAATTCATAACTGGCAGTTACTGAATCATTCATCAAATATTTATTGAGGGTTGCAAAATAGTCTGTAGAACCTTTGGATTTTGCACTTCAGCTAAACAAGTAGAGTCCCCATCACCGTGGGTGGTTTTGTATGACAAAACAGTTTTAGTGTCCCAGGAGATGACCCAGAGAAATAATGCTTTGTTACTCTGCACACAAGGAATTCTTTTCAGTGGTAATTGTGCACCCTGGCTCTTCAAAGAAAATAACTGGCTTTTGACCTATTTGCACTATAGGCACCGAGAGCAGGCTTGAGTTGGTACCTGAATTGTATTTATTGCTTCTTTTGTCCGACATCAAGTAGGAATTAACTTTCCCTTCCTTTGCTTCTTTTCTCTTCACAAACTCTAGTCATCTAAAATTAAACCAACTTCAACGCTAAAACCTTCCATTGAGAAAGAACACATAAGAAAGAGCCTTGGGAGTTGGAGGAAAGCAAGCAACAGATTGATTCATATTCTCATCTTTACCCCACAAGATTCAAAGCACCTTGTTTTTGTTTTTTTTTTAAATCACTAAGTTGCTAAATATGACTGACTTCTAGTTGTCAGAAATCAGCAAAGTCATTTCCAGAGCATTTAAATTTTATTCCCACCACAACAAAACAACTGAGAAATTTTTCTTTATTTTGAAAAGAATTCCACAGATGCTGAGATGAGAACAATTGTCATACATGCTTGGAAAATTTGAACCCAAAAATGTCAGTGGGTCATCCTGTACTTCTGGCCTGGCTTCTAAGCCTTTCAGTCATTTTAATCTTCTTCCATAAACTCGTTACATAAGAATAGAAAAAACACCAAAGCTCAGTGTAAAGAGATGAGAATTGTTTAATACTATGGGGTTGAGTTGTTATAGAAACTGAAGCAACTTCCTTTGTTTGCATAGGAATTACCTGAAAGATGGGAAGCAACCAAAAAGATTTCAGCAACAGTCAGACATGAAGTTTCACCTCTCCAAAATGCAGAAGTCACTCTCGTAAGGAAGAAGTGTATTTTGTTTGATGTAAGCTGGTTATCACGTTCTTATTTGCTTGCTCTCTAAGGAAGATTTTGTAAGGATAATTAAAGCTATTTGATTGACTTTCACATTAATTTTTTTTTTGTCCTCATTAGGAAAAGCAGGCAGAGTTCAGAGAGAGATTTAGAAGCTATGCTCCTCTTGGTTTTAATGCAGAAGATCCATACACAGTGCTTGATAAGGTAATGCAGATGTCAGATACCCTGTGCGCACAATAGCTGTTATAGAAAATAAATTTAAATGCTGAATTACTGCTATATTTTGACTTAGGCTTGCTACTAAATATATAGATTATAAAAAACTCAGTCATGTACAGTTTTTCCAAGTAAGTTATACATTATGTTTTCAATCTCCTCAAAGCACTACCATCATCAAAGTAACCATACTAGTGAACGTAACCGTGACTACTATTTTTTGAGCACTTGCCATATGTGCAGAAGTTAATTAAGCATAATATACAATTTCTTTTAGTTCTTACTATGTAGGATGGAGCTTATATTACTCTCCCTATTTCAGATAAAGAAGCAGGCATGTGTAACGAAGTTTATTTGTTGGAGATTATAGAGCAGGTACATTTTAGAACTAGGTTGAAACTCTGGCTAGCTACAGTTTAAAAAAAAAAAAAAAACACCAGAAATTCTAACCATTATACTGCTTCTCTTATAATGCTTTTGCTAGTAGCTTTTAACTATACTCAGGAAAGCCCGTAACTTATTCTTAACCCTAGACATAAATATTATTGAGTCATTTAATCCTAGTTTATAATGAACTATTCTATTCTAAGAATGAATATAGTGGTCAAATAATCCAAAATGGCAAGTAATTCATAGGAGCCTTGCGAAGATGTTTCATGCTTTTATTTGAAAAAAACAAAAACAAAAACAAAACCCCCCAGCAGCTTAACCTAGCAGTCCAAATAATAAAGTGATTTGATCAAATTCCAACTCAGGAGCTGGTACTCTTCTTGAGTTCCCAAACAAGCTGTCCTCCTGATTCTGAGTCACACTGTGGTAGGCTTTCCCTTAAACTGGTGCCCAACTTGACTTATCTCTTAACTCTTGTTCCAAATTTTGGTTGAATTTAAAGTTAATTGCTTTTAACCATGCTCAGAAAACACCATACTATACCATAAGGTCTTTTCTTTCACTTGCTGAAGAAAATTGGCTAATATACCCATTGAAAGTGAGTAGCTCAGCATATGTTAATTGAGTGGGGGGTTTTGTTTTTAGGATTATATCAAAATTGCAGGTGGTCTGAGCAGATTGTGGAGGGGGAAATGTTTTTTACTTGACTAACCAATGTGTTGTGTGTCAACATTTACGGTGGATTTTACTGAATCCTACCACTTCTGTGCAGTACTATAGCAGTATATCATGACATATTTAAAAGTCAGAGGTGCTTATCCTGGTATCATTCAGAATGTGTGGCGGGATATTGTATGTACAGTAGGATGGGATTAACTTTTTCTTGAAGTTATTTCTTGCTGTGTTTGTTCGACGTGTGTGTCTCCTTGCTTATCTAATTAGATTCAACTGAAGGTATGCACATTGTTATTCTCGGCTGGTGTAAGAGATCCTAATAGTCAAGGTTCCTCATCTCACAAGACAAGAACCACTGACCTTCCAGGAACAAGAGGGATTGTACAGTGTGGTGAATGTCTTTTTTTTTAGTAATGAGATTTCTCAGTAAAATGCTATTGTTTCTACATAGCTAGGTGAATTAATATACATTGGTATATATTTCTAGGAACGATGGAATTTGTGTAAGTAATAGGAAATGGGAAAATGATTAAAATAAATAAAAAGGATGTTAGCTTTGGGGAATACATAGACCTTTTAAAAATTGCTTTTTTTTTTTTTTTTTTTGTAAAACAGATGGTGAATACATGCCCACAAAAGTACATGTTTAGATTTGTTGCTGAGTTCACAAGGAAATAAGGGAACTCTCTAAAGGAAAAGGGAAAAAATGGAGTATTATTTGAAAGCTTGATGAAAAGCAGAGGTAGACACAGAAGCCTGGGTTGCTGCAGGGACACATGAAACCAGGAGTCTGGAGCTTTGATAGTAATGCTTTGATGGAAAAGTAGGAGATGCTCTGAGCAGCTGGGCTGGCAAAGTCTTCAACCTGCAGTAGGAGCCTATGAGATTCCCTGTTAGTTCTCGTTAAGTCTCAGGGTAGGGTAAAGAAAGGAAAAGGAGTCTGGGAACTCATAAACATGGCCTATTCTCACAAGTGCATGTGGTTCAACTTTATACTATTCCACGATTAAGGAATTTCCAGGCCGGGAAACTGATATGGTTATAAGTAGTTCTTTTTAGCACCTAGTTGAAGTGAACCCAAATCTTATCTAGGAAAGAGTGCTATCATTCCAGTGTCCTTAGGGGGTCTTACAGGTGTAATTCAACAAATACAAGTTCATATAAAACAGTCAATATAGCATCATGCATGAGAGTCAGCAGAAAGAAACCACAGATAGATACCCATAGAAAGCTTCATATATTAGGAGAAAATCAAAGATCGTATTAAGAAATGAGCAAGTTCTCATTTTAAGTCTATTAAAGATGATCAGTTGAATTTGAAAAAGGGCCAGATATTTATGAAAATGAAAAATAGAGTTGTTTGAGAAAATACAATTCAGCTGATTGGACAGAGAATTAGTGAAATGCATATTACATTGGAAGAAATCACTCAGAATGCAACACAGGTGTAATGAAAAGGAAACCAGAAGTTATAGAAGATGAAGAGACATGAAGGAAGAAAATTAGAATGACATCTGACTCTTCTCACATTTCCTAAAATAAAGAATAAACAAAATAACAGATAATAGCTGAGCCCTCACTAGGAATGGTCAAAGCATGAATCAGTACATTCAGGAAATTCACCAAGTCCCAATCAGAATAAATACAAAGTCAATATCTAGACACATCACTGCAAACTGCAGAATAACAAAGGCAAGAAGATCTTCAAAGTAACCAGGTAACAAAGATGGATGAGCTCTTAGAAACAGTGATCAGGCTAAGAGCACACCTCTCCTTCAGCAACAGTGAAAATCAGAAAGTAGTAAATGATATCTCCCAAATTCTGCTGAGTAAGATTACATTTCAACAAGAGTGAAATAACATAACAAACACAATTGGACTGAACTTGCCACACACAACTCATCACCAAAATAAATTCCAGTGCAAATACCCCAAGAAAAGAAAGGACCAACAAAGCCAAATATAGTTCTCAGAAAAGACTGACTATATTGACAAACCACTGGTGGAATGATCAAAGAGAAAAATTAACAGTCTTGTGAATGAAGTAGTGAATGTTAATATAGAAGGAGCAGAAATTAAAAAAATTCAAAAGACAATCAATCAGTTGATATAATCCGGCCCATTAATCGATTAAGGAAAGTTATGTGATCATCTCAAGAAGGGACAAACAATCTTTATATATTGTTCAATATTCATTCATGGTAGACACTCTTCAGTAGACATTTTAACCCATTCAGGGATAACAAAAACTCTACATAAAACATTCTGTGCTAAACAATATGAAAATTGTGGCAGCCTTTGTTCCTATGGTGAAATATAGGATAAGCCTTACCGACTACCAGAGGTAGAATAAATAAATTATAGTACATTCATAGTGTAGTACTAGAAGTACTGGAAATTAAAGAACTTTACACATCATCATGAATATATAGGTGCTCCACAAAAATATTAATTGAAACATAAAACATGTAAGTATAAAATTATATAATTTCAAGAACATTGTAGCACTTAGCAAGAAAGTGAAAATATAAAAATCTGGAAACTGTTAAATAAAAATACAGGTTTATGGTTTAATTTGGAGTAAGAGAAAAAGGACTAGATTGAGAAAGGCATTAAATTATTAGAAATACTTTCTAACTTGTGGGGGCTCATGCTCACAATACACATATACCCCATTACGTATATAAAGTTTTTCATTAAAATTTATAAACCTAAGCAAAAAACCCTCCAGTTCTTGTTTATGAATATATAACTTGTAAAAATGAAAGCAAGATTCTAGCCATCTTATTTATATAGTAGAAAATTTAAGAGATTGAATTGAAGTTGGACAGATGTTAGTCAAAGAATGCACAATTTCAGAAGCTATAAGTTCCCAAAATGCACAGTCTGCCCTCCACATACTTGGATCCTCAGATTCAACCACTGCAGATAAAAAATATTTGGGAAAAATCCCTGGCACCTGTACTAAACATATACAGACATTTTCCCCTGTCATTGTTACCTAAGCAATGCAGTGTAACAACCATTTACCTAGCAGTGACATTCTGTTAGGTATTATAAATGATGTAAAGATTGTTCACAGTATATGGGAGGATGTGCATAATTTCTGTGCAAATACTGCACCATTTTACATGAGTTGTGAGCACATTTGGATTTTGGTATCCATGGTGGGGGTGGTTTTGGAACCAATCCTCCACAAATACAAAGGTACAAATATACATTGTACAGCCTAGCGACTATAGTTAATAACAATGTATAGATTAGATTCTTTTTTTTAGCTCTCAGTACTGGAAATCCAAGAACATGGTGCTGGTGTCCTGGGGAATAACCCCTGGCTGTACCACAACATATTAGAGAAGTACGGAGAACTGCCAGGTGCACTTCTCATCTTTCTCTCTCTTTCTCTCACACATCTCCCTCCCTCTCTTTCCCAGTAGATTTTAAGTGTTCTCACCACTCCAAAAAAGGGGGCCAGGTAATGACATAATGTGTATACTGTGCCATTCCACAATGTATATATATATATTTTTAGACATATTGTACATGATAAATAGATCCTTTTTTATGTCAAAAGAATTAAAACTTGATGGAATACAAAAGAATTAAGCATTGGATTTAAAGTTAAAAAGATAATGAAAAGGTCTAAAGAAATACAGTTGTTGGCTAATGTGTGGAGGATGGGAGAAAATATAAAGCAGAAAACAAAGTCCTGTCCTCCTTCTGCAAAGCCATTAACTTAGGGTAATGTCTGGATCAGGAAAGAGCAGCTTGAGCCTGGACCTGAGAGTAGGACTGAGTGAACCTGGGGGGAAGGGGATGGCTTTCCTGCCTTGCAAACTCTTTGTACCTCTTAGCCTTTGCCATTGAGAATATACTAGTTTGTCAATAAAAAGCTCAAATTAAAAGAGTTGGCTCATCAAGAAAGAAAAAATGAGCCAGCTTATATTTGATATAAAACATAAACTTTTCTACATTGATGAGATGATAGGAAACCTTGGCAAAGGCAATCAGAGTGAAATTTTCATACTAAGCTGTGTTTGAATTTATTCATGAATTCTTTTAAGTGTGTGAATTCTCTTGAGTGCATTTCACCAGTTCTCTACAAGTACACTTTGTACTATTGATCATCTCCAAGGTAATTTTTAAGTTTGAGATTTTTTTAGTGGTATATAATCAAATATTTTATATTTTTGAGACAACAACTAATATTTGTATTTGGAAATCTAGACTGATGTTACACACCATGGATACCTTCCCCTTCATGACAAATTCTCTACAAAAAATATTTTGGTGGTGGAATATGAACTCACAGTGTCTCTCACATTTACTTGCTAGGCAAGAAGTGCTCTACCACTTCAGCCACACCTGCATCCCAAACATGGTTTTATGGAAAGGTTCAATACTTTAAAAATATAGGATTACTTTACTCGCAGTGTTCAGTGAGATTGCCTTCCCTGATAAAGGCATTTCCAAATTTGTTTCAGCATTTCCCCATTTTTGGGGGGAGGTGGTGGTGGTGATGGTACTGGGGTTTAAAGTCAGGACCTCAAGGTTGCTATGCATGCATTTACCACTTGAGTCATATCCCAAGCCTTTGTTTTTCAGTTATTTTTCATGTAGGGTCTCAGTTTTTGTCCAGGGCAATCTGGAACACAATCCTACCTATGCCAATCACAGAGCTAGGGTTACAGCTGCATACAGCTGTGTTGACACCTGGCTTATTAGATGAGACTGGGTCTTGAGAACTCTTTTCCCAGGATGGCCTCAAACCACAATCCTCCAAGCTACATCTTCCAAATAACTGGGATTATAGTCATGAGGCACTCAAGAACACCTCCCAAATTCGTAAAGTGCGTAAGCAGCAGTGGCTGGTGGGTCTGTGAAATGCACAGACCACCAGAAAATGGTTCAACAGAGTAGGTGTTTTTTTCTCACATGTAACAAATGGAGGGCACTGGGCCAATGGTGGAAAGTCCTCTGTTCTCTTCAATTCTGTCTTAAACCACAGCGATTTAAGACACCTGTGGCTCCCATCCTGTGTCTGGGAGGATGGCAAGGTCATTGTCACATTCCAGGCCAGAAAGTAATGTTCATCACTTATGTCTGAATCTCCACAGAGAGCTGTGAACTGTTTGCCTCAGTAAGTGGAGGCAGAGAAAAGCTGGTCATATACCAGAGGAGAGAAAATGGCTTTTGAAAGACCCATAGCTAGTCTCTGCCATACAGGAATTTCCCACCTTGTGAATTCTCTGATGTTTTCTGAGGTTTTAAAAAGGTAATTTATAGCCAGGTGCCAGTGGCTTATGCCTGTAATCCTAGCTACTTAGGAGAATGACATTGGGAAGATCACGGTTCAAGGTTAGCTGGGTAAATAGTTCTTGAGACACCATCTCCAAAATAACCAGAGCAAAATGGACTGTAGGCATAACTCAAGCAGCAGAGTGCCTGCTTTGCAAGTGCAAAGCCCTGAGTTCAAACCTTAGTCCCACCAAAAAAAAAAAAAAAAAAAAAACTAACTTATTCTCACATGGATGTTTCTATAGCTTCACCTTTTGATCCCCAGGAAAGACTCAGCTGTATAGTGAAAGCCAAGGGGAAAAATAGTGTTTATTTCTATTCTCATGCTAGATCAAGTTTTGCTAAAATGTGTGTTTAGGGAGAGTATCAGTGACATTACTGCATTTATTAATGCTTTGCTCTCATTCTTGAGTAGCTCTGGGTTTGCTCATAGAAAGTCTTCTCCATCTCACCAATAATCAGGCCAAATACTTTTTCTTTTTAAAATCAAAGTTCAAAATATTGAAATCAACATTGCTCTAGGATGGCCTCACTTTTCTGTCCTGGACGTTTGTGAGCAGGTGTGTATTTTCTTCTTAGACAAATCGGGAGCTTGAGGCTTTGGAAGAAGAAATGGTGCAGATGCAGGAGTCTGCTTGCCTCTTTGAAGTGGCTCTTCCAGAGTACAAACAGATGAAGCAGTGTCGCAAAGAAATACAGCTGCTCAAGGGACTCTGGGATGTCATCATTTATGTTAGAGTAAGATACACTTTTGGAAAGCATGTTTTTTTTTTCTTTTAGTAATTCGTTTGTATGAACATGCAATTTTTAGCATCTATATCATTTTATTTTGGTTTAATAATGTCTTGAAATATGTATACATCAGATTTTACCTCCCTCTCTGGAATGAGGGTTCATGTATCTCTGTGAGTGGAAGATTCTTCCCCGAATATCAGTTGTTTTTGTCTTTAAGTTCAGAATTAAACTTTGTATAATGAGCTCACTGTTGCCAGATCTTTTGAGGATTTATATAGTACATAAATAAAAATTAATGTATAAATATATTGCATATACATGGTCACCTGTGCATACAAACTCACATACACACCCATGCTTATACTTTTGTGTATGTGCATATATAAACAGACCTTTACCAAATATAATTCATTTGCATGTGGTAATTAAATTAAAAACTTAAGTATAAAAATAAGTTCTAGAGAACAAGGCATCTTGCAAAATGTCCTATACATAAATTTCTTAAGTCAGTTGAAAAGCATACAGAAATGTACTAAAAGAAAGTACGGTTAAGCAACCAGCAAAAACCCTTGTCCCTTCCTGTTATTGCTTATACTCTCTCTACAACAAAATTAGAAATAAGGGCAAAATAGTTTCTGCTGGGTATTGGGGGGGGGAGAGGGAGGGGGCGGAGTGGGTGGTAAGGGAGGGGGTGGGGGCAGGGGGGAGAAATGAGCCAAGCCTTGTATGCACATATGAATAATAAAAGAAAAGAAAAAAAAAAGAAATGATTAACGAGATTTTTGTTTATAAATGAATGGAGATTGTCTTATGAAAGCTTATTTTGTATTACACGTAGGATTATACAAACCTGCTATTTAATAATATGCTTATCAATTTATTCAAAGTATACAGGATAAAATGATAATAACTGTATGTAGAATTTATCATTGCTAGTAGAAATTGATATATCATGGTGTTTTAGCCTTAAGTTTGACATGTTCTGACAGTTTTTTTGTTTTAGTGATAGGGAAGTTTTGACAAGTGCAGTTAATATTTAAAAAATTGTCTTTCCACGGGATGAGAGAGTCACCACGTATCATCAGTTTATATATTTTGCTGTGGAGACTCGCTTTCACCAAATGTTGTTGACACTTTTATCTGCTTGTGCATTTCAGAGGAGCATTGATAATTGGACTAAAACCCAGTGGAGACAGATTAATGTGGAACAGATGGATGTAGAACTCAGAAGGTTTGCCAAGGCGAGTTCCATAACTGTCTGTGAGGACAATTTATCGTTCTTAGCACCACCTCCTTCCCTCTTCCCTAACCTAGTGTCTGGTGTGTTGGGCTGTGTGTCCTTATTTACTTCAAGTAGGATGATACCAGATAGTATTTTTTCACTCTCAGTCAGTTGCACTTCTAATCAAGCCTGCCTTTCTGTGAATGAGTTGATAAAAGCCTATTAGAGCTAATGAATTTATGAGAGGCAACTGTAATCATGAGTTTCGTAGGCTGTCTAGAATGCAGAGGAAGATTAAGAGTATCAGAGCTCAGGGGTGAGGCTTATGAATGAGGCCTTTCATTTCTCTCCTTAGCAACCATGAGCATTTTGTGTCTGAAATGGTACCTTTTGATTCTGGCACTTGGGGCAAGTGGTAGGAGTTTGTCACATCTGGATTTATATGAAATAGTGTGATCTTTGTTGTTATTAATCATTCCAGTATCCCAAGACAGCTGCTCAGGATATACAAAACTTAGCTTGTTTGAATTTAGAGCCTTGATAGTCCCCAAAGAGAACTTTGGATAAAGTGAAGATGCCCAACAGTGAAAGGCAGTTAAAAAAAAGGGCAGGGCCTCAGGGCACCAGTGGTTCACATCTTCATTCCTAGCTACTTGGGAGATAGATTGGGAGGATCCTGTTTTGAGGACAACCTGTGTAAAAAAAAGTTCACAACTGAAAAATGTTGGGCGTAGTGGTACACACCTGTCATCCCAGCTATGCCGGGAAACTTAAAATAGGAGAGTCATGGTCCAGGCCAGCCTGGACAAAAAGTGATACCCTATCTCCAAAATAACCAGAGCAAACAGGGCTAGAGTCATGGCAGAACATCTGCCTTGCAAGCATGAAGCCCTGAGTTCAAATCCTTGCACTGCCAAAATATAATAAAAACCCACTGGTTATGAAGATGTGACCTGATACCCCAGCTACTTGGGAGGCTGAGTTGGGAGGATGCTTGAGTCCCAGAGTTTGAGATGAGCCTAGGCAATATACATCCTCTATCAAAAAAAAAAAAAAAAGAGGACAGAGCCTTTTACTATTTTTTTCCAGCCCAGAATTGCTCTGCACCTGACAGTTCTGCTCCACTCCTACCAACTCTGTCCAGTTTGTTCTCCCAAATTGTCTCAATCCAAAAGACCCTGACTCCAATGCTTTTTCATTCCTTTGGGTGTCATGGGGCAACTGTAACTCATACTGTACTTTTTCCCTGTCTCCTCTACCATCGGCTATCTCGCTTCACAGTGGCAAACCACCCCTCCTTTCAACTGCAGATCTTTATTTCTTTATTTGTAAGTCAATTGGCATTGTCCTCTCTCTGTGCTGTACTCCAGTGGTTTTATTTTAGATTTTTTCATTCACATGGCTGACGTTGTTCCATGGGCCAAAAGGTCAGCCAAGTCAAGAACCCTATTTGAAATATCTTAAGATCGTATTATTTTTGGGTCTTGGTGGGACTGGGATTTGAACTCAGGGCTTCATGCTCATGAGGCAGGCGCTCTACTGCTTGAGCCATACCTCGAGCCATTTTTGCTCTGGTTATTTTGGAGATAAGTTCTTTCTTTTTGGCCATGTCAGCCAGGACCTTGATCCTCCTATTTTATGCTTCTCTCCATAGCTAGGTAACAGGCATGTGCCACTATGACCAACTTTTTCCCATGGAGATTGATCCAGGCTGGCCTTGAGCATCCTCTCAATCTCAGCCTCCCCAGTAGCTATAAGTACAGGCACTTGCTATGGATGCCCAGCTAAAATCATAAAATATTTAAATTTCAAGAAAAAGACACTCTTGGTCACCAACAGTTTTTAAACAAGTCTGTTATTTGAAGGGCAGTCTCAGGAATCCAATAACTGTCAATTTTTTTGTGTGTTTCTGAAGGAAATGCTGTTGACTGCATGTGTCCTTGTGAACTCTTCCCTGCATTTGATGTCCCACGGGACATCCAGTTAGCTCTTGTGACTGAGAAACCAGTGTATCTAAGTGACTTATACACAGTGCACTCAAGAATATAGAAGCATGTGGACCCTTTGCCATTTCTCTGGTTGCAGCCCTTAACCTAGGGTTTTAATGCTTTCACTCTTTCTTAATCCAGGGATGGGGAAGAATATATCTATTCTTCCAAAGGAGTCAAATTCTGTCATGTATTATATCTAGGAAGCTGTTTTATTCCTACATTTCTTTAGGAAATTCGGTCACTAGATAAGGCAGTCCGTGCCTGGGATGCTTATGCAGGCCTGGAAGGCTCTGTGAAGGACATGACGACCTCCCTGAGAGCTGTCACGGAGTTGCAGAGCCCAGCCCTCAGGGACAGGCATTGGCAGCAGCTGATGAAGGCCACTGGGGTGAGTCTCCTGGCTCTCAGTAGCTGAGCACTGTTGTGTTGTAAAGTCTTCCTTCTTAGTTTGCATCATGTGGGATGCAGTGCAATGTATGAAAGTTGCCAGTGACATGCAAGAGGTCAAGTTTATTGAGACAGGAACAGAGAGAAAGAGCCTATGTCACCCTGCTTATCTTTCTTACTGGCTCAGTAACCGCAAGCAAGTCACTAAACTTCTCTGAGGTTTTCTTGTTTATTGATAAAATGAGAAGGATGCGCTCTGCTCTTGTGTAGTAGAGTAGACTTGTGAGGAGCAAAGGAGGAATAATAAACATTTTAGAGAGAATTCTCTTTTCTGAGGAGAGGGTCTGAAGATACAGAAGAAAATTTGAGAGGAGAAGGAGTTCTGACACAGTGATTTTTTTCACTCCACAATTCATTTAATATCATGTCCTTTTTTATGCTCTCCTGATGGTTTTAATTTTATTACAAGATGTAAAATGATTTTTTCATGTGTCTAATGCCACTTGAGGCTCTAATTTTTTTTGCCTGTCTTTATCTATTTGAAAGCAAATTTATCAACCTCAAACTTTATTTTTTTCAGGAAAAGTGACATTTGTGGGTTAAAAAATATATAAAAGGAAGCCTGGTATGTGTGCTTTCTCTTTAGGCAAATCAAGAGCTTGAAGAAATGCTCTCACAGTGCGAGGAAAGTTTGCAGAGTAAGGAAAGAGAGGATGGGGCAATGGGAACAGCCTGGGTTGTATGGTTCTATTCCTAACACTTAGGAATTATGGGGTCTTGGGAAGTCACTTGCTCATCATATCTTGGTTGACTCTTCTATGAAATAAAAATGATGTCTCCCATGTAGACTTGGTAGAAAAAATTGGATAATATGTATGTATATATATATATGAGATCTAGCATATAAAAGTGTTCAATTAACAGTCCCTAGAGCTATTACCATTATAATATTTTCCATAGTCTTTTAGAAATTGGATATTCAGAATTTATAATTAATTTGTTTATTTATTTAGAAAATCTCTCTCTAGTCCCTTAATATGTAATTGTCTATGCATCTAGCTACCCACCCACCCTCCTTCCTCATATTTCTGTCAAGATTTTTGCCTCACCACAGTCTCTGCTTGCCTACATTATTTCTTTCTGCAAGCTGGAGAAAAAACCTTTCAGGCAGATGATCTAGGAAAAGGCATCTTCCTCCAGGCTGTCTGCAGGACTGTCATAGAGTAGGGGCTAGATTCAGTCTTCATTAGTCACCTAGGTTGGTGTCCATATTCAGTACACAGTTGCACAGCTGTTCATGGTGGCCTCATTAGCATCCATTGCTCATTTTTTTTCTCTAGGATAGACCTGGCTTCCAGCAGCTCTTGAGTGAGGTCAAAAGTGATGCAGAGGTAGGGTGACCTACTCGTCTGGTTTGCCCAGGACGTTCTAGGATCAGGTCTTAGCAATGAAAGTTTCACATACCGGGAAACTCCTCAGTCCTGGGTCACCTGGGTTATTGGTCACCCCATGCAGTGAAGTATGTTGGGCTAAGGTATCCAGGGTAAGGGACAGTCAGAGCTAGCTGCAGCTTCCAAGAAGCAGAGACTGGATATTCTTAACAGGAGTAGGAAAGGGAGTGGCTTTCTATAACCATTTGCAGATGGGTCAGTTCTGGTTTGCAAGGAAAATGGGTGAGTTTGGGCTGTAGGAACAGCTAAGGTCTTCTTAAGAACCAATTACTGGGGTCAGGGAGAGAAGGGGGAGTCAACAAAATAATGAAGAAATACATGTGAATTTTTTTCATGCTTAATATGAATGACACTATGAATAAGAATATTTTTTGTCAAGGAGATAAGATTGGATTAGTGGTAAAACTAGGTTAAATCACGGAAGCAACTGGGAATTATATTCAGTGAACAGGATACTTCAGGAAGAAAAGACAAATTGAGCTGCTACCTGATTCCTGGGATTTCAGCCAAATTAGAATAAATGAGCAATGAGATTTTCTTTAAAAATGGGTTTTGTGGGCAAATGAGATAAAAAAATGTGCTGACAGGAGGAGGGTATGAAACAAAAGATAGTAGTGTGACATGAACATGGCAGAAACCGTTAGGTAAAAGAAGCCATTGTGTATGAGGAATATAAATCCGACCTTTTTTTTTTTTTTTGACCTAATCAGGTCAGATTTTCAGTAAATGAAGCCACAACACTGGCAGATTTGCTGGCACTGCAGCTGCACAGAGTGGAAGACGATGTCCGGAACATCGTGGACAAAGCGGTGAAGGAGCTGGGGACTGAGAAGGTAGTGTCCTCAGGATTGTGTCTTTTCTCCGACTCCAACCATGTGCTGTAGGCAAAGCCATGTTGGGAGAAGTCCTTCTGATGCCCCGGGAGCGTGGAGACACACTTTCTAGTTTGTTCTCTGCTGCTGGTTAGGTGGGTGACTTGGGCAGGACAGAGATCATTTTAAGGCAGAGTAAATGCTTAAAACAGGAGGGTCGGGCCAGTTGATAAGAATATATTCTAGGTAAGGAACACCACTCTTGAGTTGTTTATATGAACTCATTTAGTCCTTCAAGGCAGGTGACATTGTCCCTGTTTTACAGATGCGGAAACTGAGGTATTGAGAGGTCATTAACTTACCCAGATTCACAAAGAAGTCTGAGGTTCACATTCGTGCCCACTACCTGTTACCTGTCTCGTGCTGGCTAATTTCTACACAATGTCTACCCAATCTTTACATCATCTTTGAGTCTCTTCCTGATCTCACAGACTGTTTTGGGGAGGGATGTAAAACTCAGGTCCAATAGAAGTTTAATTTTTGTGTGATGCTCTTTCATTGATGTACTGGAATTCATTGTCCCAACCTCATCACCATGAATATTTGGAGGAAACAAAGTAGGGTCAATAGTACTTGATGCTACTGAGTTTTTTTTTTTAAGAAATTATTAACAACATTTTAAAAAATTCTAGATAATAGCTTAGATACTGATCCCAAATTAAGCTTTTGAACAAAGAAATTAATTGATACTTTTAATTACCAGGTTATTACTGAAATCAGCCAGACCTGGGCAACCATGGAGTTTTCTTATGAAGCTCATTATCGAACAGGCATCCCACTACTGAAGTCTGATGAACAACTTTTTGAAACTCTAGAGCACAATCAAGTAAGATGGACAATTTTAATTTTAATTGATGATTTCAGATTTTTTCCAAGTTCTAATACTGAGCATTTATTTATTCATTCATGGGACATCTACTTATAGTCAACACCAAGTGTGGGACCATTTGGGACCCAAAGGTTTAAAGACTTGTTCTTAAGGAACTTTTGCTCAAGAAAAGAGACCAACAGAAGGAATCCAAGAGTGTGAGAAGAGACAGAGGCTTTCCAATTGGAGAGGGTGAAAATCCCAGGGAGGTCCTTACACAGTGATGGGGCTTATACTGGTCTCAAAGGATGGGCTGGCCTTCAACAAAACGATGGCCACCAGGAAAGGATGTATAAGCAACAGTGACAATAGCAGTAGCATCTTAGAATGCCAGAAAGCACCTGCTATTTTATAATTTTAAGAGTTTAGTTTTTTGGGAATATAGATTTTTTTTAATGGACTAAGGCCAGAGAGACAGATTTGAGCACAGCAATAGGTTCTTACAAAGGTTGGTATCTTTGGACAGAAGAGATAAGAAAGGTAGAGGAGGCTATTTGTAGAAATAACAACTGTGGTTACTTTTACACATACAGGCTTAGGAAGAGAAATTGGAATAGGGAGATGACACTATTATTTTGGGGTGTGTTTAGTGTGAGGGATATTTGTGTAAAGTTGGAACCCAGCACAGAGGCTCAGTCTAGCAGTGTAGATTGGAGGGTCATTGTCAGCATCTTGAGAATCAGTGAGCTAGACAAAGAGAGAAAAGGAACAAAAGCCAGCTGGGGTCATTACCCTGGAAAAGGCTGCATTTGGTGAACAAGAGGCAAAGGCATAAATATAAGAAAAACAGACACTCAGGGAATAGAAACAGGGTATTGCAGTGTCACAGAAACCAAGGAATAGATTTTTCTTTCCTCAAAGAAGAGTCACATATGTTAAATACCCAGAGTGAGGGGAAATGAGAAGAGGCCATTCCACCCAGTGAAGTCCTGAGATTTCCTTGTCCGAGAGTGATGAGAAGTGTAACCAGACTTCAGGGTGAAAACAAGCTTGGGGACAGAGAGCTGCAGAGTTTAGTAGTTGATGGAGATGAAAGGGAAGTAAAAGCTTGAGTGTCTAGCACAAGGGAGGGAAATTTGGTTTTGGAGATACACACACACACACACACACACACACACACACACACACACACACACACACACTTGGAATGACAAAGAAGCAGGGACTAAGGGAAAATGTAAAAGAGCAGTTTAATTCCTAAAGCTGCATCTCACAATATTTTTTCCTGCCTTTGGGGAGATGCCTGGTCTTCTTATAGAAGACATATTAAATGCAGCTGCTTGTATTTATCTCATTTCTTTTGGGAGAAATGTTAACATGAATATTTATTTACTGCTGTGAATTCACTCATTTACTCATTTGGCAAAAGCTTATGAAACACTCATGTGGATATTCCGTACATCCTAGAAGTCAGCAATAGGCAGAATAACCGTGATGCCTCCCTGATGGGAGCCACAATCTGCAGATGAGCTACTTAAAGTTCTTTGCCTTTTTAGGTTCAATTGCAGACCCTTCTTCAAAGCAAGTATGTGGAATATTTCATTGAGCAAGTCTTAAGCTGGCAAAATAAGTTGAACATAGCAGACTTGGTGATCTTTACTTGGCTGGAAGTTCAACGGACATGGACTCACCTGGAAAGCATTTTTCTTTGTTCAGAAGATATTCGAGTCCAGTTGGTAAAAGATGCCAGAAGATTTGATGGAGTAGATGCTGAATTTAAGGTTTGTCAGAGACAGGCTGTAATCTATTCTAGCAAAGTTTTCAGGACAATATGAAAGTTTTATAAAGAACTATGGTTCAGAGTATTTCATTTAAAAAAAATTAATATAATTTCTGAATTTCAGTAAGCAGGGTTCAGAACACCTTTTCTGTAAATGGACAGGTAGTGAATATTTAAGATTTTACAAATCATGCTACCCTGTTAACTACTCAATGCTATCTTTGTTCTATGAAGGAAAACAGATACCTCTTAAACAATAGACATGACTGTGTATCAATAAAACTTTATTTATAGACACTGAAATTTGAATTACACATAATTTTCACTTGTCACAAAATATTATGCTTCTTTTGGTAGTTTTTTAAACCATTTCAAAATGTATAAAACATTCCTAGCTCCTGTGTCATATAAAAACAGCCAGAAGGCCATTCATGTCCCATGTCAATGTCGCATGGATTTCCAGTCCTTGCAGTAAGAAGGGTAAATGATGTCCTAAGTAAAAGACTGAGAAGGGGAAATGCGTAATAAATAATACTCCCAATTTTTTTTCTTTTCCATGAAAGTCATATAGAACACATGGAGATGTGCACATAATAGTGATAAGTTTTTTGAGAAACTTCTAGCAAAGAATAATACCTATACCTTTTTCATTAAGGAGCAGAATTTCCAGAGGAATTCTAACTTGTTTAACTCTTGACAAGAAAAGAGTAAATTGCTTAGCACTGATACACCAAGATTCTGGTACTCATCCCTTCTCTTCCTTCCTCCTTTCTTCTTCTTTTTTTTTCTTCTTATTATTTTTTGGTTTGTTTTACAGGAGAGAAATTCTGTGTGGGCCCAGAATGGTGGCAGTGCCCATACATTTTATTTTGATAAAAACTGTATGATTATATTTGTTTTTAATCCTCATCAAAAAGTTTAAAAGCAAAAACAAATGTGGTCTCAGACATTTCTAGAGCCTCCTTAACTTTGTTCACTCCAACTATTTCTGTTCTCATGTTTTAATCCCCAAAATGGATGAAAACTTTAGAAATTTCTAGTGTTCATGGTATTCTTTTATATAGGAGTTAATGTTCAAGACAGCCAAAATAAAAAATGTTTTAGAAGCAACATGCAGACCTCATCTCTATGAGAAGCTTAAAGATTTACAGCACAGGTAAGAATACAAATATATAAAATGATAAATTGCTTATAGTTTTATGAAATTTAACATACCTAATAGTATTTAAAATCATGTTATTATAGGTTCAGTTGCTACTAAATCATCTTATAATTTTGCTTATAATTGTCTAGTTGTACATTTTAGATGGTATATATAATGTAAGTTTCAAGTGCATTGCTGTTTTCTGAAAAGACTATTATAGTAAATATATATTATTAACAGAATTGATGTAACCGATCAATTCCTTCCTTAAACTATTCTGCAAATATTCATTGAGCACCTACTGTATGCCAGAAACTGGGATTGGCTCACTTATTTTGAGTCCTTTAGTTTGCATACATTTTCCTTTTATTAGAAGTCATCCTTAGCATATTCACCCTTTTGAAATTCTTGTGCTAGGCCAATTTGTAAAGTACTTTTCATATATAATTCTATAACATTGGTCACAAGAATATTCTGGCTTTTGATTTAAAATGGTCAAATCAGGGCCATTGTGGTGGTATACGCCTGTAATCTCAGCTACTCAGGAAGTGGAGACAGAGAGATTGTAGTACCAGGCCAGCCTGAGCAAAGTTAGTGCAAGACCCTACCTGAAAAAACAATCTAAAAGCAAAAGGACCGAGGGTGTGGCTCAAGTGGTAGGGTGCCTGCCTAGCAAGCACTAAGGATTGGTTTCACCTGCCCCCAAATAATAAAGTTAAAAGTATAAAATGGAAAGATCAGCTACTAAAGTGAGAGGTTTATTTCCAGGATGTAATTATTTGTGTTTAGACAATAATCTTTGGGTGTTTGGTGGTTCAGGGTCATTTTTGCTTGGCTCAGGACAATAAGGTAGAAATTATTCTGGATCTTATGACTCCTTTTAGTACCTAGCATGAAAGTCACTTGTGTCTTGTAGACATTCAGTGGGAAAAAAGGAGCCTAAATCAGGTTAAGCAATGCCGAACCTGGTCTTCATTAAGAAAAACAATGGGTGACATAAACTCAAGTCTGATCTACATTTACCCTCAACTAATGGAGTGCGTGTGTGTGTGTGTGTGTGTGTGTGTGTGTGGTGTGTCATCTCACTTGGCATGATTGTGTATTAGTCAACAGGATGATGGTGTTAAAGAGGAGAGGAAAGGCTGTTAAATACTGAGCTCATAGTGATGAATGGATAGGTGATAGGAGATGGGTTTGTTCTGTCAAAGTGTCAATGAATGAATAGCCAAGATAGTCCTTAAAAGATTTCTCCTTCATGTAGGCTCTCTCTTTGTGAAAAAGCTCTTGCTGAGTACCTGGAAACCAAGCGTGTGGCCTTCCCTCGCTTCTACTTCATCTCCTCTGCTGACTTACTCGACATTCTCTCAAAGGGAGCTCAGCCTAAGCAGGTAATAAATTTTTTTGGAAGTCTTGTATTATACTGCATTAGCTAAAGAATGTCCCAGTTTTTCTGTCATTATCAAATGCCATCTGTCATGTCACATGTGCCAGGAACTAGAAAATCTGCATTTAGAATTCTTAACGCAGCAACCTAGGGATATCAGAGGCTGAGCTACAGGAAGTAAGGAGGGGTAGCTGCCAGGGTTCAGTAAAGGGATGATATAGGAAATGTGTAAGTTTAGTGACCTGAAAGAAGTCAACAGGAAGAAACACTGGCCCCAAATTCCTCAGGTTTCAGGAACAGAGCTGGAGCATCTGTTGCCTGGTTGGCTGGCAGCTTTCCCAGGGGAAAGTGGGTCACTTGCTAGAACGAGATCATGGCTGGTACTCTCTCACTATGCCTTCAACTCCAGAGAAACCTTGATGATTACTAAGTTGGACTGATCTTCAGTGCTGTCAGAGTTGGAGTTGTACAATTTCAGACTCAGCCTCTAAACTTTTAGTTTCCTCTATCTATGTGAAAATAATGCACCATCAGTTTCCGGGCTCCTGGAAATAAAATAGCAAATAAAAGCAGATGTTTTTATGCTCTGAGAGCTCAGATCAGGGACAAACTGCACAAATTCTACAGAGGCCTTCCTGTAAGCATTCCCACTTCTTTCTTTCTTGTGTGAAAGCTCACACGGGTGGACATACTTAGACTGCATGTGGCAGATTAATTTGAGATGGAAGTTTGTGCATTATTGCTATGGAGTTCTGTGCATGTTCTTTTTATTTAAAAAAAGTTCGTTACTTTTTATGCCATTTGCTTTGGAATATATGTCTCTTCACAGTGCAGTTCCCCACATTTTTGGTTTTTTTTTTTGGACCCCATGTTTATTTGATTCTTTCTTTCTTGCTCATTATTTACCTTTGAATCTAAATTCAATTGAATGACTATTCTTGTTGCTTATAATACAAGTGAAATCTCACTGTTGACCTAATTATTGGTTAACTTTGACAACTTTTTCTGGGGTCCCACTCAGATATTAATTATATGGTACGTTCATGCTAATCCCTGAATGGCTTTGCAAATACAACCCCTCTGATAAGATTGACTAGGAACCTACCATATCCATCCCTAACATAGTTAAGGAGCACACATTGCATGGTTTTTAAAAAACTAATTTCGAGCATTACATTCACAAGCACAGGTATACTCTTAAGCACTTTATGAGGTCCTGAAGACATTTCATGTCCAAATGCTTATAGTACAGAAGAATCAATATGGAAATTAGAAAAAAGGTGCTTATGTCTATAACTAGGATAGAAGTTTCTTTCTTTCAGTCAATCTTTACATACAATAAACACTTGTGTGCCTGGTTTATTGAACAATATTACTTCCATGGAAGAAGACACATGAGTCAGTTTTATTTTCTGCAATTATTAATCCCAAGAGTGCCCTACTAAATCTCTTAACACTAGTAGCAGGCCCTTTTATAACATCTTGAGCAGGGATAATTTCCTCTTCCCCTATTCTTATTAAGAATGCATTCATAGTGGGGCATAGTGGCTGATCTGGAGGATCGTGGTTTGACACCAGCCAGGCAAAATGTTTGATCCCCATCTCAACCAATAAGCTAGATGTCGTGGAACATGTCTGTTATCCCAGCTATTCAGGAGGTGTAAATAGGAGGGTCATGGTCCAGGCTGGCCCTGGGCAAAAACAGGAGACCCTGTAAAAAAAAAAAACTAAAACGTAAAAAGGGCTGGGAATGTGGCTCAAGTAGTAGAATGCTCATCTAGCAAGCTCAAGGCACTGAGCTTGTTCAAACTCCAGTATCACCAAAAAAAAGCATAAACCAAAAATAACTGAGTCAGGTCCAGTTGGAAATTTCAGGCCGGGTGCCAGTGGCTCATGCCTGTATTCCTAGCTACTCAAGAGGCAGAGATCAGGAGGATCTCAGTTCAAGGCCAGCCCAGTTAAATAGTTCACAAGACCCTATCTCGAAAAAACTCATCACAAAAAAAAGGGCTGGTGGAATGGCTTAAGGTGTAGGCCCTGAGTTCAAACCCAAATACCGCAAAAACAAACAAACAAAAAAACAATTAGAAATTCCACTTCATCTCTGTGTGAAGGCCAGGCTTTTACACATAAACTTGAGGTTGAGGGGAGATGTTGCTTTTTCACTCCCCTCCCTATGCATTTATCATGGGGAGGGGTTTAGATGTATGATCTTTGGTGCTGAGGATTGAACTTGGAGCCTCATGTGTGCTAAGCGCATGCTCTACCACCGAGTTCCACCTCAGATGTTCATGGTCCTTTCTTAATGATGGCTGTGTTTATCTGGTCAGCAGTGACTGTCCATCTTCACACTCAATAGTGAGGACCTACATGTTGGCTATCTTATAGAACACACTTGCAAGTCCTCAGAGGATAAAGGGAACCTCCCCAGAGGTATATATGGCAGAATTACTCTACTCAAACTCCTTGGAAGCATAACCAGCCATCTAGTAACATCTTCCTCGTTTCTCCCTAACAGATGTCTAAACACAGCACACTGTGGAGACTCACTTCCCACAGGCACCCTTCCATGTGTGATTCTTAGTTCCTCTCCTTGACCTTAGAGTAGAGGAGTGAGGGGACCACATGGCTTCCTGCTCTCAGCTGATGACTCACACCTGTGAAGATGCCACCTCCTTTCTTCTCCTCCTCCCTTGGACACTTTCCATCAAAGGAGCATAAGGAGGTAGACAAGGGAGGCTGTTGAGATGTATCTCAGCAAACCCTAGAGGGACCAGCCCACCCTAACTATGTCCACTGTCCTCAGGGTGCACACGTACCAAAGCCTCTTTGTCCTTACTTACAGTCCTAGGCTGATGCCTAAGGAGCATATCACTAAGTGTATTCTTGTCACCAACACTTCTTAACCTCCTTTCAAATAATCAAAAAATGTTTTACTCCACTACCAAGCAACATGTTGGTTCACATTATATGCATCCCTGCTGCCAACATTTGTTTTCAAACTTCAGTAGTCTCCCTTTTACACCTTTAGTTCTTTTTGTTTTCACAGCACAATGTGCATATTTCACAGAGAAGACAATTATTTCTCTATTACCAACGTCACTTATTGCAGAATTCCCCTCCCCGACCCGTCTCATTTATAGCTTTGTAATCCTACTTGAATCTCTGAAGTTCAGGTTCATTCCTCAGTACTAGAGCTAGCACCACTCCTCAGAGAATGATGACCGAATGTGTTTTAAAAGATTTTAAGTCACAGCTTGATAATCTCCAACATCACAGGCTGCTTATATCATACCAACAAAAGGTGGTGGATATTTCTGCCTACCAGACAATGGGGTCAGGCAATTTGATTTCTGATGGAATTTGAAATTTGGAGGAGATTCATATCATTTCAAAATATACCTGAACTGTGATTTCACTGAAATCTTTTTGTTATGCTAGTTAAATTTTGAACAATTCAGATTCTTGTCAGATGCCGTCACACTGTTATTAATGCTCTGTTAGAAAAAAAGTGTTTAGAAGCCTTTGTGGTGCAAAGAACCATCCAAGAGTGACTTGAGGTAAGGGATTGTGAAGTCACAGAGGGCAATTTGTGTCATCCACAGCTGTAATAGACTCCATGCCCTGAAAGGTGGCTCTGCAGGGTCACCGTGCATTCTGAATTTGTGGTCACTGTCTGTGGAATAGTCCATGCTTTGGGCAGCTGTGTGGGAAACTGTGGCCTTTCTATACTCCCCTCCCCTCTCTGCAATATCAGAATCAGTTCCAGACCACCAGAAAGAGCATTTCCATCTATGCTCCTTGTGCTGACAGTCCTGAATGTGCTCTGTGTAGTGTGACCAAGATAACATGGCAACTGCAGCTTGTGGAATAACAATGCAGGTCCCCATCAAAGGCACTCTTTGTAGGCAGATAACTCATCTTGACATCTTGTGAGTGACCTGAATTTTTTAGACCTCCCTCCCCAACCCACCCACACTCAATTTAAGAGTGTTGGTCTGAGTGAGTTTCTGAAGTTAATTTGTGGAATTTGGTGAGCCAGGGAAGTCTGGTACCACTGCAACCTCCATGATGCCAGCAGTTTTCAACTGAATGTCAGAGTGGTGCAGTTCGATATGTACCTTCTGCGATTATTAGCTGTTGCTAAGCTTGGTTAAGGTCAAATTTTAAAGGCGTTTTTCCTTCTAGAATTCAGCCTGACCTCACAAGGGCTTGGATTATCTGTAGGATTCTCTTGTAGTTTCTGTAGGAAAAAAACTTAAGATGTACTTGCAAAATACATGGACATGGTGCAGTAGTTATATGTACCTGGAGTGATTCATTGTAATATTTGATTTTCCCCCCTCTGAAAAAATATCCATTTGTGTTTTTGGCCATTTTCTCTTCCCACATCTACTAGATGTTTAGCTTCTTCGTGATGACCTGCTTATGGGAAGCGTCTCCATTATGGAGCTAGACTTTGTAAGAAGAAAGGAGAAACTTCCAGTGTTTTTAATGTGACCAACTACATTTGTGCTGGCTCATGGGCAGCCGTGAACCACATGTGGCTATTGAGCACTTAAAATGTGAAAGCTGAAGAATGGGCATTTCAATTTTAATAAATTTAATTGATTTAAATTGAAAAGCTGATATTTGGTTCAGTTATTGGAAAACATAAGTATGTTTGGAACAACTTGGATGTGTGAATCTACCTTTGCTCTTGCATATCTTAGGAAATCTGAGTATAGAACAAACATATCTGATGAAAATTGCAAATTGAAATGTGCTATAAATGTGTGCACCTGGTTTCAAAGACTTATTACAAAGAAAAAGATGCAAAATATCAATGATTTTTATATCAATCACACGCTAAAATATTTTAAATATACCAGGTTAATATATTAAAATAAATTTTACTTTTTGTTTTAAGGTGAGTGACAAAAACGTTGCAACAGTGAAAAATTAAGGCCACCATGCATTCTCTAAAATGACAAGATTAAAAATACATGTACTGGGGAATGTTTA